TTACAATGTTAGAAATGTACATGTAATTTCGTAATTTAATTCGTTGTTATTGAACCCGTCACAGAAATAAACTAATATACTAACCTTACACAATTAGCATAGTTATATGATTATACGTAAATTAAAAAAAAAAAAAGAAAACAGTCACTCATAATTTCAAGTGAGAACTTAAACTCCTCAAGGAAGCACGAGTTACTGTTCCTTCATAGTTTACATTTCTGTACGATTCACTTAAATGGTAATATCTGTACCATTATATACAACACTGGATTCCTACAAATTAAAATTACGATCTTAAATACTATCAAAACCTTGCATGCTTGATTTAAGTGTTTTACTGTCTTCCTTATTCTTTGTTTTAATACTAATATACAAGACGATGTCTTGCAACAGAAGCATTTCCAAGTCACATTTTTCGACCCAAAAATTAACACTAGTGTGATTAATTTCATCTAGTATCTATAGTCATCATAAAAGAGAAGCTAAAGCTGTCAACTCTGCTAGTCTATATAATTTAAGCGTCGAAAGTTTGATGAAAATGTGTTCTTAAAGCAATATATTCTCAGTAGTGGTTTTGAAAGAATGTTCATTGTATTTTTCAATATAATTGTGAGCAAACAGGACATAAACATCTCCGTTTACACAGACCAAGTTAATCAAAAATCTAAAAGAAATATGACACAAATAAGAAAACGCATTTATATAACAAATGATTATTAATGTTTCTTATAAAGTCTATGTATTCTTGGAAAATTAAAATTTTCCACCTATCATGGGTGTTTATTTTGAATGTGAAAGTTGAAAATGTGCATTGCAGGATATAACTTTTAATTATAGTTTACATTTGTTTTAGTTCATGAGTATAAATTACAACTCATTATGATTTACGATCGAAATCTATAACTAACACATGCAAAACATAGTTTATCTGATAAATATATATAGTTTCACTATAAAACTATGATTAACAACACTAAACTATGGTTTACGAAATACATTTAAATAATAGTCTACAAATGATGCTCTATATTTATCAGTATAATCTGTTGTTAATGTTTATAAAGATAGATAAACTTAGAATGGAATAATTGCTATATAGTTTACAGCTTTTAAATAAGTTTTTTTTTCTATTTACAGGTGAAATTTTATAGCGAACAAATCGTTTGCTATAGTTTAAAATCGATGAACCTAGTTTATCAACCGTCTTTTTAACTAATGTTTATCTAATAGAAATTTATGACACAATTATGTGTTATTTATTGATAAAATATCACTAAATACATTTTTTTTAAATGAGTCAAAATTCACCATGGATCGGACGATATTCACCATGTATCGCAAAAACGGTATTTGAACCGGGAAAATGTCATACCTTTATCTCAGTGCGATGATCTGATATGAATAAAATGATATGGAAATATTTTAATCTTTAATTTAAAATAAAACTTCTAATTCAATTTCATTGACTATATCCATCCACAAATGTGGAGAGAGTTTACAGTGTAGTTGCATCACATCGATATCTTGTACTTTCACTGAGAAATCAGAGTTTTTATTTTCTATTAAAAAAAATGTCAGTTGGGTTCTATATGAAAATGGAAGTGATTACCCATGCATCGGAAAGTGTCCGATGTATGGTTAAACTGAGTCCGATGTACGGTGAAATGAATATACTTCTAAAAAGCAAAAACAAACACTGAAGTGAAGTTTCTGGAAAATTTCCGTAAAATTATGAATCATGACAAATTCCACATGCGTTGAAGTCAAATTAAACGAACTACAATTCCGTAAATTTACAAATTCTTAAAATTTTGGTTATGCCCCTTTGACTATGTTAAATATCATGCATCTTAAATGCCTTTCTTGTGGTATCTTTATCATAACGTTAACATGACAATATATAAATATCGGCATCACTAAAATGTTTGTATCTTCAGCTTTAAGAAAGAAACAAGAAAAAACATGGGGGGACTCAGCTTTAATGAAATTTTATTAGTTAAAAGTTGTCCGAAGCAAGGTATGTGTCCTATGTATGGTTTACTCACCCTACATTATAATATACAGATATATTAACTAGGCTTTGAATGTTCCGGGAAAAAAACTGCATTAAAAACGGAGTTTATGTAGTGAAACTTTATTCGTAAATGTGCATATTACCTTTCATCATAATTCTGTTACATGATAGCTGAAAAATTCAATTACCCAATTTCTGAAATGAAATTGGACTCAAAATAAACATTAAATTAACTTCTTATCATTTACATTTAAAGAGCAACCTTAATGACCAATTAAAAATTAGTCCAATTGCTCTATTTACCAAATGGAAATATACATGTACTTAAGCATTTGAATAAAAATACATGTGCTCCACCCTCCATCGCCACCCAGCCAACGAAATCAATTACTTTACTTCAATGCCTGAAAATATCACTTCCTGGGCACCATCTGAAATCAAATAACTTCCTTTAATTTATACCCAACTGTTTGTCACTCAGTTTTACTGTTGAATTTATGAAATTACGTGACGGTGTAATCCGACGTTCCGGATCACCACACTGTGGTTTTCTGAATCCATATCACCCCTCTCTGAAACTGATGACATAGTACACAGATAAATGACGTTTTCATTCTCGCGCATCAAAAAGTTCTAAGACAAAATGATTTGTTTAATGGATAAAAGTTAGGTAATTGATCCAAAAAGTGTCCTTTTATTATATTTTGATAGCTGTAAAAGGGTATATAATAAATTTATCATTATTACAGTAACTTGATCCGAAGAGCCGTATCATGCTTAACAAATACTTGATCTCCTAATTTTATTTGTATTATGAGAAGATTTGATGACGTTATGGCTTTGGGTACACCATACGCGTTTAATTGTTACAATCCTCTCTTTTGTTTGACAACAATATCGGCATTAAAGGTGTGGTCAGTATACGTCAACATATAACAGAAACAGAGGTTGGTCCCGATTTGAGGGACTATGAATATTCCAGTCCTTGTTGTATCTACTACCTTGACTGTCAATCACAGCTGTGAATACATTTTTTTCTGTAGTCCAGTTTTGATTGGTTTGTGTTCTCCCAGCTGTGAAGTTTATTTTAGTATTTATATCTAAAATAAAACAAAAAGTAGAAAGAAAGGGAATATATAAAATAAAGGGCCTAACAATTTTTATGATAAAACTTCAGGCAACATTCCATCTAACGACAGATCTACACTGTATATGCTAAAAAAGGTTACTGTATCGACCATAGAATTTGAGAATTGTTGATTTTAAACAAGATTGTTGATATTTTTGTATCATCAATTTATTTTACAATAGCCTGTCTCATTATAGAAATTGATCGTACCTATAACACACTCTTGCCTATATCGAGACAACTGGCAGACAAACTCCATATGCAGGTGATAATGGCATATTGGTACGAAAGTAATGGTCAGTTGTCCATCAAGATAGAGCGGGCATTTATAATTTATTAATTCTACTTCGAGAAATGGAATAAAAAAAATTATCTCTCCCCCCCCCCAAAAAAAAAATCATATTCCCCGAGAGCACACATGATTTGTGAAGATAACACACAGTAATATGACGAATAATTTCCTTAAAAATGAGATTTGAAATGCATTCCTTTCTGCGGGATAGTTTTTTCCTCATAAACAGCAATGTCGGGATTGTCATCGTCCAAACCATAATCTTCTTAATTTAAGTTCTTATCATCATCAGAATACAGATGTTAAATTCTTTATCACCATATATATAGGCCCTCAACTTATTGAAGGATATCACCTTGTATGCTGAAATACCCCACCCGCCACAGACTGTAATTGACTCATAATATCAGTGTTCTTTTCCTTCAGATTTTATTAACTGAGCTTAACAAAATCAGGGTATCAGCATGTGAAGCTTGTGTCTTTTTTGTCAGCATTCAGAAATTTATAGTCAATTATTTTAGATATTTGTTGCATTTGTCCTTGAATCAAATAATTTGATGATAATACATTCCTATCCCCTGTTGCAGTCCGATTTTCATATTAATGAATGTATTTTTATATGAATAAAATATTTAGCAATTGATCACTGAAAGCTAGTGTAGAAAATGCACATAAAAGTAAATCAAGTGTACAAATGTATCATATACTTTTTCTCCTTGGGTTTTTTTCTTTGAACTTCTTTCTTGTGGAAAGTCTTCAAAATGAAATATAATTTTACCCCCGATTTGAAGCTTTGCAGCAGTTTAGCTTGTCCTTATTAATTGATTGTGTGTCGATTTACATATGTACGACCTATTCGAGAATTTTTCAGTCACATAGAGACGTCACCATATACCGGTGTAGGGCTTCAAAATTAAAAATTTATACTCGGCTGTCGGGGCCATTGTGCAGTGGGGGTTCTTTATCCTGCCAACGCCTATCTTGACATGCGACTTTGGTTTTTAAGGTCTCATCCGAAAGACCAATGACTTTCACTTCTAATGCCCGGACCTTGGTGAAGACATAATCTTTATATTATATTATTACAGGTAGAAAGAAATACGAAAGGTAGAGTGGAAGCAACTGATCATCGGCATTGCCTATGAAGCATACAAGAGTTACTTGTTCTTTGTCATTCAAAATATTCGATGCCATCAATGTACTTTTTTTTCTAAAAAATCTGCTGAAATTGAGCAGAGATTTTATTTCTATTAAAGCATTGTCAATTCATTCTTATTAAATTGAAAGTACATTCTGAAAGGAATTATACTAATATTTTCTTACAAAGATTTGAAGGAATTAGAATGGGTTACTCTGAAAAGCATAGACTTTGTCTTGTTATGACAATATAAACCTGAAGCAGAAACCTTTGTAAACATACATGTATGCATAAAAATAAAATGACTGTTCTTCACTAAACAAATCTACAATATATTAATGTACATGTGTATCATTTCAAATAAGTGTAATTTACAGCATTGAAAAAAAAAATTCAAAATCAGATTGATAATGAACATGTGCACGCAGTCAGGAATCTTCTTTAGGGTTTGTATTTTTCCTTTTCATGTTTCACAAATGCATCTTCAGGGTCACCAAAGTATGGACTAGCTAGGTTCTTCAGCATCATTCTTCCAATCATGTCTAACAGATTGTCAACGTTTTTCTTCTGGTCTAATATAAAACCCGTATCACTGAATGCGACATATCTGTGTTCCGTCTTTTCAATCAAAGCTTTCAGTTTCGATTTTGGGTTCAGCGATTTGACGTAGTCATGAATATTTATGCCTTCACCTACCAATTTTTCCTTTCCAGTAAATACAACAACAATGTATCTAGTTATTTGACTTCCAAAATTTCTCTCATAAAACTCAATGGCTTTCTCGTCCTCTGCCGTGAATTTTCCTATTCTAGTGACAAAGAGAAGTGCATGTGGACCTGGCTTAGCTAGTCGCAGCCCCTTAGCTATTTCATTTTTGATTGTCTTTTCTTCTTGGTTTGACCCATACACACCAGGAGTATCAATTATGCGAACATGTTGTCCCAGAAAATTGGTAGCTTCTACAGCTGTTGACTTTAATGTTCCAGGTTGATTGGAAAGTACTAAAGGAACTGCAAATACCTTTCTTCCGATTAGCACATTACCAACGGTACTCTTACCGACACCAACCTTCCCTATTACCAGCAAACGCAGTGGTTCAGAAGCGTCCTGTAGATCTATAAAAGATGCAATGGAATTATTTTCAAATCTTACTCTCAAATCAAACGATAATTTACTCAACTTGCATGAGCATAATTTAGAGAAAAGAAAAACCTAACAAATTAATTCTAACTTTGATTTTATCACTTACATGTAACCATGGAACATTAGTCAAATTATCATGAAAAGCATATTGTGACTAAATTGTGCTTTTGATTGTTAGAACAGACGTTTAGCAAAGAAAAGCTAGGCAATTATCTAATTTGAATAATGTACTAATTGCAGTTATCAAGTGATTACGTTACATCTAGTTTAAGGCACCTCAAAGACGCTCGTTTGTATTATTATTTTTTATTAAAAGATAAATATACCAATTATTTCATTATTCATATAATAAATGTTCTTGATTTGAAGAACACATACAAAACTATCGGCTTCATTCGACAGAAATCCTTTTTTACTTAACTTTTTATTTTGTAGATATCAATCGTTGTCATATTTATACCAGTAATATACAGAATCTATAATCTCCATAACTGATGAACAAATTCAGTTAGAAAAAGACATTTTTTCCCTCTTCATGACTATTAAACAAAATAGTGGATGTTATAGATGTGATTATACACATATGCATGGTAGTAATATGATAGATTACTAACCTACTTCACACTCCTTATCATCATTTTGTAAAGACATTCCGTCAGGACACAAGCATTTTACTTTTTCCTTTGGCCGAGGTATGCATATATGGGAGCACCCTCCTCGTTTATAGGTACATCCAGTGGATTCTATATCAGACAAGATTTATTATGTGAAAAAGGTATGTGTTAATATCAATGATATTATTGTGAATGTAGGTTATTTATCAATAATTTCTATTTACAAAAAAATAGTGTATACTTGAGGTAGATTCGCTAAAGCTAAAACGTCCACATCCACGGCTAATATCCACTGAATGAATTAACTTAAAATGAATTTTAAAGACATATATACATGTATAAAAAGCTGGGAAAGGGTTTCAGCAATGATTTTTAAACATACTGAAATAAAATTCTAGAAAATTAGGAATCATCGAAGAATTATAAAAGAGTAATAACCCTGAACATAAGATCCTCCTTTATGAAGGTATATTCCATTCAATCTTGAAAACGTCTCCGTGCCCAGTTGGTAATGCATACCACTCCGAATCAACAGCTCCATAACATAACTTAAAAAAATGTTAAAATATATCATTTTTACTTTATTCAACTAAAGAAAGATGGTACACTATTTCACCGTAGCTAGATTTGTTTGTTAATATGATGTTCACATTATTCTACATTATACCTTTCTTGGTGAGGTGGATTCAATCGAAAAAAGATGAGAGGAATTTTGTGTAATCTCCCTCGGGAGATGACATATTAAGAGTCATTCTCTGTAAGCAGCAAAATGAGCTGGAAATTGACTGTCACCGATTTTCTTGAAACTTTGTGAAATAATTACATTGTAAACCAATTTTACAAAGAAATATTATTGGAAATCATCAATTGGTCTTGTTTCCATGGCAACAGCTCACGTATTTTCGTACATTGGTGGAAAATACCAATAAATGTAATGTCACCCCATTAATGTATATTTAATTAATAGAGGTGACCATTATGAGTTGTTTTTTTTTTCGTAAAAGTAATTTATATTTTGTATTTTTTATACAAGAAAGTTGCAAAAAAATCTTGGACTTTCCAATAAATGCCTAATAATATTAGAAAGTGCCTTAAAAAGGGGGATGGAACATAACCTTATGCACAAAAAATGCAGACACTGGTGGAATATTTTGATGCTCTAAATTTTACCCTTAACAATAATGAAGAACATATTAAAAAATATTTGCTTTCTGGAACAGCCTAAACACAGGGTCGGTAGACTGGGACTCTTTTTCAATTTGATAATTACATAAATGTAGATAATAACGTTAAGAATGAAATTTATTTACCTCTGTTAAAATGCATCATGAGCGTTATTTCTTTGGAGAGCCACATTTTAAAAAGTAGGCTATATGTGTATTGCAAGAAAAGTAAGTTTATGGCTTTTTTGACTTTTTTATCCTATTTTTCCTAGTAGACTGTAAATGTACCTAATTATTTTATATATAGCGTTAAAGGTTAAAACTTAAATCTGGGCAGCAAAAGTTTATGATGCAGGAGTGGCTCGAGAGGCTCGATGGCCAAGTCACTCAGGAGGATGATTAAGTAAAGTGTTTGGAAATCAATCGAGGGCCGGACTTATTTCGGTGAGCACTTCAAAACTTATGGACTGCTGGCAGAGTAAGCGGCTATGAAATAAAGCCATAAGGAACGCTAAGCTTCAGAATCTACCCATCTTGTCACAAAACAATTGTTTACTAATTTTACTAATATTGGTCATTCGTAACTAATTTCCTACAGACATTGTACTAAAAAATTAAAATGAATGAAATATATTTTCACACAGATTAAATAATATAGGCACATAGCATTAGGAGGACCATCCTCTCCCACTTTTTTTTTCAGACATAACCTTTAACAGTTGAAAAAGTTCATTGAAAAGCCGCTTCCCCCCCCCCCCCCCCAAACTATTCGTTGCAATATATAGTGAAATTGTTCCATGAAAATAGGATAATACAATTTCTTTTTCGAAAAATTAAAGTCTACCCCCCCCCCTTTCCACGAAACGGACTTTTTCCAATTTGGGCACCCCACCTTCTATTCCCCTGTCAAATATTGTTGAGGTAAGTTGTTAATTTTTTTCTTCTCTCTGTCCCTACCCCTTTTCTTCAAAAACGATGCTACTGCCTGTAGTGAAGCTGAGAAAAAAATGTTACTTTCCACTTTTTTTTATTTGACAATAATTGAGCCAAAGAGATGACATTTCAGGCTTTCTGGAAAGTCAAAATTGTTTCCCTTTATTCTGAAGGCTTATTCTCACCTTCTATGAGGATAATAAACCCGTACTGAGACAGTAATAAACATAATAAGTTATATTTCATTTACAGGACATTATTTGAAAATCATCAATGAAGAGACTTCTTTTTATGTAGAAATTGTAATGTTTCAGTCATATTGCCGGCTGTAATTTTTCACTCCTTCTTTTAAAACTATATGTTCAAAAGTGTCACAACTTTTCTTTTAGAAATATGTGTCGTTCAAAAACAACAATAAATGAATAATATTATTAATATTTATTGAGTGGTTTATAGCCTCTCTGCAAGATTGATTGATTAAATAAAATTATAATTAATAAAATTATTAAAATTTGGGTGACAATATAGAAGATGATTGGTTGATTAAATTGAATTAGATATGAATTCAATATTTAAATTCTGAAACAGATGTAGATGAATACCTTCTTGACCAGTCTGTATAGTATAATCTTTTTCTGTCAAGTGCCAATCCAAAGAAATGAGCTTTTCCATATTGATCACTAAGTACACGCCGGTTCGTGCCATCTAAATTTGATTTTTCTATGAGGCCACTTTTCCCATCGCACCAATACATAACGCTTTCTATAATAAAACGAATGGTACATTTTATGCATGTATGTAGAGGTATTATTATTTTTATTCATGCTGAACATATCCATAGCCAATGCTTCTTTTCCTGATTTATCCAGATAGCCGGTATAATACATTTGCTTTAATTTATTTATGTATTATGCTACAAGAAAGCATGAATGCTTGACCCATGGAATTGATTAAATTATCAGGCAGTATGTGACCTTTTTAAAATGAACAGAATGGTATTAAAATAAATATTAACAATAAAATTATTATGCATTGAATCATTTTTTTTTTTTTTTTTTTTTTTTTTTTTTTTTTTTGGAAAGATGTAGTCTCATAACTGCAACGATGTGTGTAAACAAATTGAGTAATGCTTATATGTTTGTATTTACATTTTTAACTCCTTTTCTTGACTAGAAAGTGATTTATATTTCAAAACCCCGTTTATCATTCGGGTGAGATACAATTAATGGAAGAGCCATTGCAACAGCTTGTGTTCAATGTGAGCGTGAATTTTGATTCTCGTTTATGACGTTGCACTTGCACGGTGTTCAACATTTGTGTCGTCAAAATAAAATGCATACTTTTAACTTTTGACCTCCCGTCCGTGCTATGGTTTTTGAATTCCGTCGCTTTCAACACATTTTATAAGTAAAATAAATATGGAATGTAAATATATAAAAATGGAAACGAACGACACTTAATAGGAGTTCTGAAAAATAGAGAATGATCTATACAATGTATAGAATCACAAACAAGTTCTTTAACACCTTATCTTTTATCCTGTAATTCATAGAGACAATCATTGAAATATTTGATTTGGTTCATTTCATTCATGTATCTTGAGATGTAGGGAAAAATACGATAATATAGGCGGCAAGAGTCACGGCCACCTTGAATTGTTAATGTTTTCAGATGTAAATTGAAACTACATCTGCATTTCAGTTGAAAAGTTTTTTTTTGGTTTGTTTTGTTTTTGTTTTTTTTTTTTACTTTGTTCGGGTTGATTTAGAAATATATTACATCATATCATGCTCAAAGCAAAATGTATACCTTCAAAATCTATTGCCAGACCGTTTGGCCAATATAAGCCCCTTGTAATAAGATCTTGCCTTTCTGATCCATCATAGTTTGCCCTTTCAATCCGTGGGCTGTCACCCCAATCCGTCCAATATATAACTCTGTAAAACGCCAATTTTTAAGAACTTCAGAGGCTAAGATAGATCATCTTAGACACTATATGAACCTTAATTAAAATAACCATATTATATATTAATGTGCATTTTATGAAATTGTGTCCTTGTATAAATGTCTCAAATTTGATAATAAAAAGGTAAATGACATAAATAAAAAATATTTAATAAGGATGAAAAAAAGGACTCCAGGGCATTTAATTTAGATGATTCTTCTCAATCACCTTGTACTAAGAAACTTTTGCAATGATAATTTGGTAAAAAGAGTTGATCATGTTTGATTTACCCAGTTTCGTAATCGGAAACAATTGCTCTTGGTTTGTCCACTGCTTCCTGTATGATGGTTTTTTGATAATTATTTCCGTCTAGAGTTACTACAGAAATAGTGCTATATCCCGAATCTGTGAAGAAGAGCAACCTAGATACCGAATCTATGGAAATCCCATCTACCACGGAATCTGTAAGTTAGAAGTTCTGAGCATGAATTGAAAATTTACTTCTGATAACCACTCCCCCATATTTTTGAGTGAATATATATATATTGATATCATTAATTCTCTGTAGAGTAAGTTTACGCAGCTATGTTAAGGCTTCCCGAAGCTTTAAAATGCGCTCAAAACATAATATGTCATTGCGAGGTCGGTTTTGGTTTTAATTTTTAAGTATTGAACTTTAGTACTTCAAATTTATATAAAGGGTTTCATCGGCTATATATTAACATATTTGTTATGATATCACATGACTTTGTTGATCACGTGACGGTCATTTATAATTTTTTGAAGTGTTTCATATAAATCGCTTCGGCGCAGCTGATTAACACGATAATTATTAACATTTTGTTATATAAATAAACTCATCGTATCCCTGTGTATCCGAAATGTGCTTGGGAAAAGTCATGGTATTACTTGGGTACAAAATATTTCCTGAGAAATTCAACTTACCTACAAATTTGAGGGTATTTTCCACACAATATCGTAATCTGTATTAAAATAAAGCCAACACAAATTTTCCCCAAGCAAGATTCAGTTAGAGAACAACCTCTTCTTACAGATTTCCAGAAAAATTCTCAGATTAATCCTCATTAATCACCTGCGCCAGACTCTTTTATACACATAAAATAAATTCTACATCCAACCACGGGTATAAAACAGAGTACATTTCAAAAGTATATTTTTCATAAGCATTTTGAACATGCTGAATTTCAATCAAGGGTAGGTAAGCGGTGTATTTTTAAAATATACGGACATATAAACCTTCAACGACCCGTGAATTTTGCAATAGCTATCTAGCATTTTACATGCAGTTTGAAATAAAGTGTCAAGTTCATGACACTCTCCCCGTCATAACACCTCAAGTTTGCAGTGACTTGACGTCATTTTCCATTATGACGTCATATTTTGATAGTTCAAGGTAGTTGAAGGCACAGAGTGCACTGTAATATTCTACGGGAAGCCTTAACCTACCTGCGTTAATAAAAGAAGAATATATCATTGTCATCAAATGAAGGTGAGGTAGGACTGATTTGAATATCATTGATAAATATATATAAGACCAAAATAGGCAATCGCATTTTACATTGGAATATAGAGAAAAAATCTTTCAAAATCTTTTTCTCAGGAATTACAGGGCCGGAAAGATGGATTTTAAAAATTAGACTTTCTCATATAATGTTGTTTCTAAATTGTTCAAAGCATGGCCCAAAGTGGCAGGGCGAGGTAATAATAGGAGATCAACGTTTTACATTGGACTGAACTGTATAGGATAAATTTCCAAAAATCTTCTTAAGAACCATTTTAGAATCATAAATTTGCAAAAAAATGTTCATGTTCTTTGGATCGAATTCTCGGGTATTCGGGGGACACGTATTTTTGTCTGTTCCTCAGTCTGTCTCTTTGCAAAATATAACCTTGTTCACATCTTCAGAACATCGTTAAGGTTATTTTTCTCAACTATCAAAACAAAAGATTGCAATTGCGAATTATTGTTATTTGTGTAACATTTTAAAACTTCTTAACTATAACTTTCATTTACTTCAAAATATCTTCCAAGACTTCGATTGTTTAAAACTGTGAGCTAAATCTACAGAACATTGGGTTACTTTAATATCAATATGGTTTACATGGTCTTGCAGTGAAAAAAATAAACACTTATAAACCCGTTTTTTCAACTCATTTATAAATTTACAGTCATTTCAATAGAGCCAGTCGTTGTCCACTGTGGTAAAAATGTTTGGGAAACGGGTTGAGAATTTTAAAGAAATTAGAGCTAATATAAAAGTCGCACAAATCTCGGTCATTCGGTAATTAATGCAGATTTATATTGAATTGGGAGAAGGTTATGAGTTTGATAAGGTATCTTATGAGACAGTTCGTAGGTAGAGAAAGAAATTTCTGACTGGCACACACTCCGTCAAAGATGAAGCATAATTTAAAAGGCTTTGACTTAACAGGCATTGCAAATGTCTCAAAAGTCAGGGAAATAAATGAATGTGATGGCAGATACACGATTCGTGATATTTGAAAAGCTGTTGGCATATTACCATCGTGAGTGCATTTCATTTGAAGCGTGTTTTGAAAGTACGAAAGATTTCTGCCAGAGAGATACCGCATATATTGACAGATTACCAAAAAAGAGTACGAGTACAAACCGCTAAGCAATTGCTCATAATGTTTCCCTATTTCAATCAAAGACAATTTGCAAAATTGCTACTGGTGACGAAACATTGGTTTACTATTTCGAAGCAGTAAGAAAAATTGGAAACAAAAAAAGCATGTAGTTGACAAAAGAACCATGAGCATAAAGAAGGTTCTTTATTGCATATTTTTCTCATGTAATGGTATAGCCATATAAATTCCGGTGCCAAGGGCAAAAGTATTAAAAGGTCGATATAAACGAGATGTTATACTAAAAAAGCGCAAGAAATAATATCATAAACGACGCTCTGTGTCAGGATTTAGGCATGTTTGTCTACTTCATGATAATGTTTGAGCTTGTGAAGCAATTTTTGAAGTCGGAGAGGGTTATCGTCTTGCCACACCCATCATACTCTCCAAATCTAGTCCCATGCGACTTTTTTCTTTTTCCCAAACTTAAAATGTTCTTATCTGATCCTCGTTAAAAGTCCCGACTAGCCTCTGGCTCAGCGCCTCAGAGGTCTACCTAAATCAGCGTACCATGACGCATTTCAGAAATAGATTGAAATTGTGTATTTCAAACCGCGGAGAATACTTTGAAGGGATGTAATGTTTATATCACTATTTGAGTATTTGAATGCTTTTGAGAAATCGTACAGAGGGTTGTTCCTAAGAATTGAAACAGAAGGGGAAGTTTAAAAAGTAGAAGGGGATCTGGGGTTCCTCCCCTAACGAAGAGTTTAGGAGGAATACCAAAATAACCGGGCGATTACATCAATACAGGCGGGGAAATGCCTTCGGGTCTTAGGGACAACCCTGCGTACAATATACAATACATATCGAACAACCCTCGTATCCCGGTGAACCTGAAATAAAAGACACACTAGAGGCTGCCACATTTGTTTAAAATTTGGATGTTTTATTGCATATAGACGTTAAGGACCAACATAAATTGTTTGACAAACAAGATGACTTCAATTGTTCCATTCGAAAATTCTCTTATTTATTTTAGTAATTTTCTGATCTCACCTGCATATGTTCTTTATGTCTCCCAACTAATTTGATACTTAAGAGTATCATCAACTTATAAACTGATGCAGGTTATGCACAAATAAGTTGATGTTACACAGATTTCAACAACTTCTTTTGAAGTCAGCATTTAGAAAATTATACGGTTGTAATAATAACTTTGTTAGCATATACAGTCTATCATTGGGTTGAACTTTCACTAATTCTTACCAATAATAACGTAGGAATTTTTTTTTTTTTTTTTTTTTTGGTATTGTTTTTCACTACGGACTATTCGTCCTCTTGATCAATTGTAGGGCCTGCGGTGCGTGTTGCCGGTAGACAAGGGATATTTACTCCTCCTAGGCACCTGATCCACCTCAGGAATTTTCGGGGGAGTACGTGTTTTATATGCCCTGTTCAGAGATTCATATTGTTTATAGGTTGTTTCCTTTTTAGTTCGAACAATCTTCGTTGTCTTTACCTTTCTACATTGTGTTATTGTCTTCTAGGATTTGTTAATAATTTTTTTTTTCTAATTCGTGAATATAAGGAATGCATCATTACATGTTTTAGTAATAATTAAAAAAAGATATTTATGCGTAAAATAATAAGTACATACCGTTTCCTAGGAAACGAACTACTCTATTCGTTTTGCCTTCAATGTCACCAGACTTCAACTGACGTAGTTCATTATCTGACCAGTAAATGCGTTCTTTTTCTTTATCGAAACTTACAGCAATAGGGTTAGGATGGAAACCGAATAATGGTTCACTAATATACGTTGATAAATTCATCTTGTAAATCTCGCCTTCTCGTGAATCAGTAAAAAGCAAGAAGTTGTCATTGTTTAAAGCTGAAAAACAATCATTTTCAGGACATCAAAAAATGCAATTTCTGTAAAAAAAAAAAAATCTTCGCCGAAAACAACATATTTTATTGTTATCAGTTAAGAGAACGAGCACCCCGAGGAAGCAAGGTTGGCGGGGAAATATCAATGGTGGGAATTAAGGGAAATACTACAAATTTTCTCTAAACTGGGAAATATTGGGAAATACTTGGAATTACAAAGTTAAAGTTTTTTTTTTATTTCTTTATTTCACTCAATCTTATACAAAATTCAAAAATAAATAAATATAAAATCAGATGAATAATATTGAATATGAATGTATCACTACTCTAGGTCCCATACCCATATGCATTTTGAAACATTAATTCTCCCTGCTGTATAAAATTTCAGTTTTGTAGAATTATTATAAGTTTATTAATTATAAATCCAAGAAAAAAAAAGTTTTTTAATCCTTCTATAAACACTGTTATTATTATAAACAATCATGTTGTTTTAACAAATTGCTCTGGACAGTTTTGTGCTCCTGGTTTGAGATATACATGTAATTACCTTCATGAGTAGAACTGAAAGGCTTCTTCTTGGGTTTGTTACTTAAACTACCCTGTACATTTAAGAATTTTCTTGTATCCTTCTTTAGTTACATACAAAAAACCATTAGGGATCTTTGGGTTCATTTCATGGACCTTTATAGACTACATCGGAAACACATGACACTCATTACTCGTACATGTATATGAATAGTGCTATGATTATATACAATGAATTACTTGGAAACCGGAATTCTTTAAATCAAGGACAGTGAAACCTGAGATAGATATGAGATAGATATCTTAGCCAATAAGGTGTACTACATGTCAATATTGATGAAATATGTACCTATTTCTTATTTCCCAGTATTTCCCGGAAAATACCAGTAATTCCCGGTAATTACCAATATTTCCCACCGTCCTGGGAAATATAAGTATTTCCCAATTTTTTTCCAACCCTGTGAGGAAAACCTATTAGTATCTTATATTGTATAATTCGTTGAAGATGACATATTATTGAATGCTTAACTGGTATGTTCCTTGTAGGCATTGAATAATTTCCAGTTTTAAATAATTGGATTTGCAACTAATGCAAGTTTCGTTTTGTTTTCAACGTTTGATTATGGGGAAAAAAAAAAACAAAAAACAAAAACAAAAACAAAAAGGTAGTCCACTTTAATTTAATTCTTCTTAAAGATTATAACGACAATCCTTAAGATAACAATACATCGTTATTTATACACATAAAACAAAATTCAAAAAACAAATATACGTTCCATTCGAGTACTCTAAATCACTTTTTATTCGCGAGAAGTTTATTTTCACGCAATTACGCGAGCCAGTTGTCTCGCGGAAAGTATCCTTCTCGAGTATTTAAGTATTCCTAAAGATAATGTAGAGCATTAACCACAACTCGTGAAAATTTTGTCTCGCTTATAAGGAATAAATGTCTATCTCGCGAAAATAAGGTGTCGCAAAATTTAGTGATCCATAGTTTCATATTGATAACATATATACTCACCGAATACACTGGGTATGAATTCCAGAAATAGAAAGAAGAGCATTTTCAATTTTTGATTCCCTGAAATATCAAAATAAAGCACAGAAAAGTTTAATATTACACTCTACCTGCATTATAAGTAAATTACTGAGAAAAAAAAGGAAGAGGAAAAGAATCTAATAATGAATACAGGATTTCTGTCGAAAAGTCAATAAGTCATTAAGATTATGTTTACAAGTAACTTTCGCATGGGTTTAGGTGTCTATCAACTGGAAAAATGTTTTATCAAAGTCAAGGAGGTTAGTCTTCTTTATAGAATCTAAATAAAATAAAACAATTATTATTGCTTTTTTTTTATTGTATTCTACATAAATCCATAATTTAAAAAGTCAAAGCATTTCCAAACGTTTTACTGCGCGATACAAATGAAATCGATGTTGGGCTGCTGAGTGAGATACTGAGTAAGATACTGTACGCGTCGATGAGATATTCCACCGCTATGTCAATTTTCAACTCACACTGTAGGCGGGGTCAGCTATATCTTATTAGCATTCCTTGGTGATCAGCAGTAAAGGAGATAAATCTTCAGTGCAAGTCAACAAAAATTATTGCAACTAGAGCCGAGCTCGTTGCAATGCAACGAATGGGTCTTCCGTCGGAGCTCCGGACAGGACATAGCGACCTTGAGTCAAGGTCATGCAACATTTTAAGGTTATAAACAATCCTGTAAGGGGCATCAACTTTCAATGTTTCAACAGTAGAAAGACAGTTAAGGAATGTAAAATTCCCCTGTCAGTGAACTTGAACTTGTCCAAATAACCTTGCGTCAAGCCATAACACATCCTGCAGCTGGTTAAGAGCAAACACCATCTGTATGTCACCGACATAAAAAAAATTCACAGTCACGTATTCTTTCAGACTATTCATCCAAAACATCATATTCTAAGTGACCTCGAATTTAAGTCAAGGCCATTACACACTCTGGATGATATATTTATCATCTTTTCAGTGAAATGCAAATGCATGCAATTTTTTCTATTACAAAATTATGGACCTTTTTGTTTGTTTGTTGTTTAACGTCAGTTTCGAGAATTTTTCAATCATATGGAGACGCCACCATTTGCCGATGGAGATCTGCAAATTTTGACCTATACTCGGCACTCATGGCCATTGAGCAGTGAGGGATCTTTTTCGTGTCAGCACCTACTGCCAGACGGGACCTCAGTTTGTACGGTCTCATCCAAAGGATCTCTCTCTGCGTCCCACAGTGGGATTCGAATCTGCGATGTAAGGATCAACTCCTTAATCCACGACTCTAGAGCAGACACTCTTACCACTGCGCCACGTGGGCGACTAGACCTTTTTTGAATTTTACAGTTATTATATTAGTGACCTTAAACTTAGCTAAATGACCTATGTTAAGGTCACAAACAACCTTTGAACAAATTATGAGCTTCCAGTGATACTCAATGACAAAGATATACCTGAAAAAGAATATTGCACTTTTCTGTCAGTGACCTTGAACTTGCCAGGAAGATCTTGGATCAAGGTCAAAACACATTCTTGGATCATAAACAATCTCTGTATCAAGTAAAAGCTTCCAGTGATTTTATATAACAAAGTTATAGCATGAGGGAAAAAAAATATTTATCTGCCAGTGACCTTGAACTTGCCAAAAAAAACCTTTGTTCAAGGTCAGGACAAACCCATCTCAAGCAATCTGAGAAAAATTTCCTGTGTTCCTTCCACCCCTTATAAATTTATAATCCAGGCACGAATTTTGCCACTTCTTCTGCCAGTCTAGTACTATGTTATCTCAAACCGGTGGATCATAAGCAATCTTTGTTCCAAGTATGAGCTTCCAAAATTATAGCACATACAGTAATCTTACACTTTTCTGTCAGTGACCTTGAACTTACAGGAATGATCTTGGATGAAGGTCAAACCCTTTAATTTTGTCATAAGCAATTCCTGTATCAAGTATGATACTTGCTATTTTTTTTCCAGTGACCTTGAACTTGCCGGAATGATATTGGATCAAAACCATGACACACCCTCGGATCATTAGTAATCTTTGTATCAAGTTGACCTTCCAGTTTCTTCATAACAAAGTTATAATATCCTTGGCAAACTATCACGTACAGACGGACAGCTAGGCAGACGGACAGTGTGATTCCAGAAGACTCAAAACACCCCCACCTCAAACCCACACACTTCGTTTGGGGGGGGGGGGGAGGTATATAAATTCCTATTTTAAATTATGAACACTCTTTCCGGTCCAAACCTTCTCCCTGGAATCAAAATTTGAAGAAAAAAAAATGAATGTATGCTATGTTGGAAATTTTCTCATTCTAGTCCAGGGGTTCTTGAGAATACTGTTTTCAAATGACCCCATGCGCGGATCTAGAGGGGTTTGGGGGCAGTTAAATGTATATACTAAGCCAAGTAAAAGTGACCATCCCCCCCCCCCCCCAGAAAACGCGGACCCTTCCTCGAAAACGCGGATCTGTGTTAAAATGGTATGAAAAGTCTTAGGTATGAAGCTTTAAAAGTCAACGACCCCCCCCCCCCCCATACACAGACACAAACACAGACACAAACACACACAAATTGGTTTTTCACGTTTGGGAAAAGAGTTTCTTTTTTTTTTTGGCTCGTCAAGAAATTTCTGGATTGAAATATTTTTTTATTGGGATCCCCCCTCCCCCCGGGGAAAAAAATTCCTTGATCCGCGCCTGGACCCCATCTAATTTTTACTACATGTATCCCTTAAAAGAGGATGTGACCCTTCATTTGAATAAAACTTTACCAAAAATATTCTGTGTTAATTTTCGTTGTTATGGTCCAGTGGTTCTTGATAAAAATAAGAAAAATTTACAAGTAGTTTTAGAACAACAACGACGATAACGCTTATATACACCAAGAAAGCAAACAAAGATGAAAAATTATGAACAGAAAAGCTTCCTTGGGTCTTTGGCTTGGAAGGTGAGATACTTATTAAAAATTGAAATTATTCTGTCATTTTTTTTTTTTACAATCGACGGGCCTGCATTTCAGAGAGAGAGAGAGAGAGAGAGAGAGAGAGAGAGAATTTCTAGCTAGGTCTTTGAATAACAGTGACATCGGTTCAGAAAAAAAGGTCCCTAGGAATGTACATGTATATAAAATAGGCAGTGCCTATCTCTCTCGGAATTCATCACCTGCTTCTGTAAAGCTCCATCCTCACTTGTACTGACATGTACCTGGTAAAACCAACCGACTGCGAATGGAAAACTTACTATTTATTTCGAGGATGGGGGTATACGTATAGTGATGAGAGGAAATTTATTCACCTAGATACGTTCATTGAATATGAAAGATTGCTTCTGAGTATTTGTATACGATCGCACGACGTTCGTGTTAATTTATAAAAGTTGGATTATGTAAGCAAAGAACTAAACTAACAATTTTGTTGTAGATGAATAAAATAATTAATTAGC